ATGAAGGTAATCCCTGGAAGCTGCTACTGAGGTTACAATAACACTAGTGATAAACTCATTTGCCCAACAGAAACAACCTGGGACTGGAGGAAGGGGACTCAGTTTGCAGCTGAGTTCTTCCTAGCTCCAGAGCACCTCCAGAGATTCTCTTTAATGAATGTCACCTGCCCTTCCTCCAGATGGACACTGCAACCACAGCCTCTAAGCCAGCCTGGGTAACTGCAGGCTACAGCAGAGAAGGAAGCCCACTCTATGATCCAAGTTTACACATGTAAGACATGGGGCAACATTATCTGGGCCTCCCAAATCTACTACATGCTGGGCAGCTCTGCTAGACTATCATCCCAGTGCAGGCAGGCGTGAGGAGGTGTCTGTGCACCTGCCTAGGCTCTGCAGATGCCTGGAAACCTCTTGTAGCAATAAGGGCCACCCAACTTTCCAATATGCTCCTGTCCCTATGTCATTGCTCATTCCATCCTCTCAGGATGCTTACAAAAAGCCACCAGGAGGAAGAAGTTTGCCTCCACCCTGCCACACTCCTGCAAGCCAGGTACCAAGTCTCTCCACTGCCTGCCAGCCCCACTCTGGCCCTCTCCTCCCTCCAAAACAAGTGAGACAGCTGACTTATGCCTCAAGGAAGGCCATTTATTTCCAAGATATAGACCGTACTTTTAAGACAGGACTTTTCAGAAGCAGGAAATTTTAGTTGTCGCCAGAGAGGTGTGTCAAGGACACAGTGAAAAGAACCATGCGGATGTGGGGCAGGAGGCTTTATCCAACACTGTTACAACACTTTTGTAAATGAGCAAAACATCTTTAAAAATCCTTATAAATTCTTTATAATATGTTACACATTTAGAGACAATATTTACAATAAAAGGATGGGGCAGGAGGAGAAAGAAATCTACTTTACAGTAAGTCTTTGCATAAAACAAGAGGACTGATAGAGGTGGCAGCAGGGTCACAGCCCCACCTGGGCTTCCCTGGAATGAGTGCAGGGGGGGGTGGGCCTGGTGGTCTGAGGTCTATTTACAACATGTGGGGGAAAGAAGAGGCTGGTTTCCACATATTCTGCAGGAATAGCCCAGCTCAGGTCCCATAAATCAGTGTATGTGAGACAGAGATATTTTACTGTCCCCTCCCCAAGGGAAATGAGAGAGGGCTCTGTGTGCCTGAGCTGTGGAAGGAGCAGGCACCTCTGGAAGAACAAAGGTGGGGCCAGGGAGATGCCAGCAGGGGACCTAGACCCTTCCCAAACTGAGGAACAGGCAGCTTCCATGATCAAAGCGCTGGAGGGGGGGGGGAAGGGAGTGATTTAGGGGTTGGCATAAAAGTCAGAGGAGCAACCCCAGGAAGGTTTCAGTCCTGCCTCTTGGAAGGTCCCTTACCCCCTTCTCTGGCTCTGACAAGGGCAGGGAGTCAGGATCCCTGTATGCACCTAAAGCAGGGAGCCCATGGGTGGTGGGGATGGGGAGGAAAAGGGGGTGGCAGAAGTTACTACTGGAAACACCTTTGGACAGTGACTACACACACTTGCACAGAGAAGTCCCTCTCCCCACGGACACCACCACCCTATGCCTCCTCTCCCCAGACACACACACATCCTGCCTTAGGAGCTAACTGGGGGAAAGGTGGGGCGCAGAGAAAGCAAAAAGCCAGCATTGCCCAATATCTTCTCTTTAGTCTGAAACTTGGGGTTACCTAGCCACACTCATGGTCCACACAGCCCCTGAGTGCAGCCACAGAAAGGCCCAGAAGAGCCTACTCAGACGCATGTGCAGGGACACATACCCCGAAAGCCCAGCCCTCTCCTCTTCCTCTCATTACCTCCGGGACCGCCTTCCATTCATTCTGCCCAGCTCCAGCCTTCACCGCTGCCCGCCCCCTCCCAATTCCCAGCACACCAACCAAAGACGCGGCCTGCGGCGTCCTCCACTCGTCACCCCGTGCACCCAGGAGCAACAGAGGGTACCAGCTAGAGAAGGGGCGCTAGGGAGAGCTGTCACAGACACTGATGGAGGCGGGAAGTGGCCGAGCGGCGCAGAGGCTGGCTCTGCAGGGCCCCGGGGTCCCCGGACGCGGCAGGCAGCGAGGCTGCGGACGATGTGGCCCGCGCCTTGGTGGACTCCAGGCTGCTGAGGCCGGAGTCCTTGTTGTCACTGTGTGCCCGCGCGCCCGTGGGCTCCAGGGTGCCCCCTCCGCCCAGTTCCTTCCACTCGTTGAAGTTGAGGTCGGTCAGCGGGCTCTGCACCACCACCGTGTGGCGGCGCCAGCTACTCCGACGCCTCCGCGTCTCGGGCGACAGCGGTCGCCGCAGCCGCACGGCCATGTCGTCCGCCGTGCCGCGGAGACGCAGCCGCAAGGCCTCGATGCGCGACGGCCGCGAGCCCAGTGCTGTCGCCGCCGCCGCCGGGGGACGCAGCGACTCCTGGCTGCTGGATGAGGCCGAGCCGGGCAGCTCGGCGGCACGCGGGCCGCCCCGGCCGGTGCCCGCGCCCTCGCCGTCTGGGCGGCTCCGGGACAGGCGGCGTCGCGCCAGGGTGTCGCAGGGTATGAGATGGTGCGAGGTGAAGGAGGGCCGGCGCGCCAGGCGTCCCCCCGGCCCTGCGCCGGCTGCGCCACCCTCCGTGTCCGTCTCCACGTGGCTCAGCTCGCTGCGCTCGTCGTCCGCCTCATCCCCTGCGCCCGCCCGCCTGCCGCCGGCGCCCGAGCACTCGCTGCGGTCCATGGTGGAAAGAGTGGAGTAGCCCGAGACGATGGAGCGCGTGTCCGCGGCCGGCCGCTCCTCCGGCGCTGCCGGGGGGCTGAGACGCCCGGGCGCCTCGGGGGCAGCGGCGCCCGGCAGCTGCCCCTCTGGCTGCCCCTGGGGCCCCGGAGCCGGCGCCCCCGCCCCGGGCTTGTGCGCCTCCTGCTCCGAGTCGTCGTCCGTGCTGCTGCCCAGCCCCCGCGCCTCCCGCCGCTTCTTCCGCTTGCGGTTGACGGCCGAGATGAAGGAGATCGCCAGCATCTCCCGGGCGTACAGCTCCTTCTTGGGGGCCCAGGAGCCCTGTGCGGGGAGACAGGTCGGGATGTGGGAGGCGCCCGGACTCGGGCCAGCACCGCCTTCTCTCCCAGCCCCAGGCCAGAGGGCCTCCTGCCTCCACTTTCCCACCCGCACACCCCCCACACTGTAGCACCCAACCGCTACACGTCTGAACCAAGCCAAGCACCAACGCTGCAATCATAAAATGTGCCTCCTGCACCCCTGTGCCAGCTGGAGTGTCACTATCTATCCACAGACCACCTCAACCCTCCACCCCAATCCTCCCCTCTGGTCCTAATTCCAGTTCTCAGCTGTTCTTTCTTGTGAGCCGGGCTGCTCTCCCCTCCCCCCATTTCCATTCCATCTTTCATACCCAGCGCCGGATAAATCCTTTTAGACACAGCTCTGGTAATAACAGTCTCTCAACACGAGTAACACTTGTCAGCTTGAACCCTTTCACATACACTACACCCTGGGTTGTATCACCCACAGCTTCCTGAAGACCAGGCCTCAGATCTCTGGCATAAACCTTTCTCCGACCACAGCTCCTCCCCTGCTCCCTCTCTGCCCACTCCCACCTGGGAAACCTGCTTTCTTTTCCATCCACTCAGTAATTACCAGCCTCTCCAGGGCCCTTGCCCAAGTTCACTTCCTCCCCTGTCCCACTGTCAACCACCAGCGTCCCAGTCCCCAACCCCAGATCAACTGAACAGCCAGCTCTGCTGCTGAAAATGGCTGGAAAATCCGGTACACAGCGGAGGCAACAGAGCAGACCCCGTCTCTACAAAAAATTTTTTAAAAATAGTCAAGCATGGTAGCTATGCAGGAAGGTGAAGCAGGAGGGTCACTTGCACCCAGGTTGCTGTGAGCTATGCTGGTTCCACTGCACTCCAGCATAGGTAATAACAGAGGAAGACCCTGTCTAAAAAGAAAGAAAGAAGGAAAAGAAAAGAGAAGAGAGAAAAGAAGGGAGAAAAAAAAAGGAAAAGGAAAGGAGAAGAGAAGAGAAAAGCTCCCATACAATTTGATGGCCTGAATTGGAGCTGCTCTGGGTTTGATTTCCAACCCCATTTTGGGCAACTTCCTGCTGTTGTTCTAACCTGAACCAGCTCTCACTGCTAAACCCAGTGGGTGTGTCTTGGCTTTCCTACACTGCATGTTATGGCCTCTTGGAGCCTAGTTTTCATCCTCTCTTTCTGGCCTCTCCTCTGCCTCTTGGGAGGCTCTTCTTCCCCTTGAAGAATCAGTGTCCAGCACTCTTGTTTTTGGCCCTTTTCTCTTCTCCATTCAAGTTCCTTGGAGAATACCATTCCCAAACAACACTGCTAATACAAGGGCCTGCCCGTCCAGCACCAAACTCTCATTTGGGCTCCAGAACTTTTTCCAATTGCAAATCCATCTCTACTTGGGCATCTACAGGCACCTAAAACTCACCTATGCGGAACCATATTATCCTCCCTACCCCTGCTCTGAACTGCCTTCTTGAAGGCAAGGTCTGTGACTTATTTGCTTCTCCATGTGCAGGCACTCAATAAATGTTAAAAGAAGAAAAAAATGGGAGAATGGAGTCCCCAACATTGGAAGCCTTCTAAAAGCAGATGCTTGCCCTGGTCTCCCTCCTGGGCTAGAACGACTTGCCAATGTTACACTGCCCCTGGACCCCGCCTCACAGGCCACCTCCTATTTCAGCCATGGTGTAATAATGGCTGGAGACACAGAGATGCAGTAACAGTTTTAAGAAAGTCAGAGCATGGCAGGGATTCAGGATTCATAGATCTGTGGCTCCCAGGCCATGGTTGCCCACAGTGCACAACTCCAGAAGACACCCCCTGGAGTTGTGCAATGTGGGAGCACTGCTAGGATCAGCCTGAGGCACACAGTGGCCACTACTACTTTCTTTCCTGACCAGTGCTCTCTGAGTGACTTGAGAGGCCACTAGGATCATCTGATCAAACGACCCTCTCATCCCAGCTGGTTCTAGAAGCAACGAGGTCAGAATGATCTCTTCCAGGGAATGCAGAAGCCAACAGATTCACTTAAAGACCAATGAGTCAATCCAAGAGAGGCTACAGAAAACCAGGGTGTGAGAGGAGCAATGAGTGAGGCTGACAAGGAGCTGGATTTGGGTCACTATCAACTTTCTCCATACCACAATGATCTTAAGATGGAGTAAGCTGGCTCAGCGCCTATAGCTCAACCGGCTAAGGCGCCAGCCATGTACACCTAAGGTGGCGGGTTCGAATCCCCAGCCCGGACCCGCCAAACAACAATGACGGCTGCAACCAAAAAATAGCCGGGCGTTTGTGGCAGGCGCCTGTGGTCCCAGCTACTTGGGAGGCGGAGGCAGGAGACTCGCTTGAGCCCAGGAGTTGGAGGTTGCTGTGAGCTGTAATGCCACGGCACTCTGCCCAGGGGGACAGCTTGAGGCTCTGTCTCAAAAAAAAAAAAAAAAAAAGATGGAGTAAGCTCTCTGCCACCAGAGGTGTAAAGGCAGAGGCTCCAGGGAGAAGTCATAAAGGACCCCTTGCTCCAGACTAGAGCAGCTTTTTTTCTTTTATCCAGTGTATTCATCTGACGCATACTAAGTGCCTGCTGAGTGTCAGGTACATGCATGTGGACTAGACTCATTGGAACCTGACCAACACAGAAAGGAGCCTAACTCAACCAGTCAATAAGCTTGTTTGTTTCACCTACTGCCATGGACTAATCTGTGTCCCCCCAAAACTCACATGTTGCAGCCCTAACCCTGAATGAGAGGGTATTTGGAAATGGAAGCTTTGGGAGATAATAAAATTTAGATGAGGTTGTGAGGGTGGGGCTCTTTTAGGAAGAGACACCAGTGAACTTGTGGTTTTGTGCTCTCAATCAATCTATCTCTTTCTCTCTCTGCCTCAAAAGGACACAGTGAGAAGATGGCCATCTACAAAATAGGAAAGGAACCGTCACTAGAAACTGACAATGCTAGCACCTTGGTCTTGGACTTCTAGCCCCTAAAACTGTGAGAAAATAAATTTCTATTGTTTAAAACACCCACCTGGGGGGGGGAATAAAACACCCACCTATGGGTGGGTGGGTATTTTGTTATAGCAGCCTGCACTGATTCATATACCCATCCTGGGGCTCAAGATCTAATCTAACAGTTGGGCAGGATCCTCTCATGGCAGGCTTCATCTTGTAGTGGGTTTGTCCCAGAGGGCAGACTCAGGGGCATGGGTTTGCTGGCAGTGAGATCCAGGGGAAATTATAGAAGTTCTTCTAGACTCTTGTTTCCTCGGCTATAAAATAAGGACAATGCTATCTCTAACTCACAGGGCATTTGTGAAGATTAATAATTCTGAGCACAGTAACTTAGCAAATGCTCCACAAATGGTAGCTATTAATATTATTAGATATTTTAAACTCGGGAATCAGTGATGGCCAAAGGCATTATTGGTGACGACTGATACTCTCTGCCAAACAAGCTAATTATTAGCCTAAATCCCTTTGGTGAAGGGGTTCCTAATTGGAGTCCTTAGATAGGCTTTGGGGGTCCATGAAATGCTTGAATTTTATACAGGATTTTTCACATAGATGTCCTTCTGGAACAAGGGTGCACAGCTATCCTCTGATACTCGAAGGGACCTGATACCCAAAGTAGATGGGGAATCCCTGCATTCCAGTGTCTGTGATCAATGGAAATATTTTCATGTGGTCAGTTAGTTCAAGGTCAGGGTCCTGGAGAGGTCACCTCTGTGGGCAGGGTTAGGGTCAAGGAATATGAAGAAGTGGTGTTAAAATAGAATAAGGCAGAGCTGGGGAAATCAGACAGAGCCAGTCAGCAACCAGACTTCTCCTTTATCAGTGGTGGCCTTGGGCTGGTAACTGCAGGCAGTACAGAGAGTTGGCTGGGGCGTGAGGTACAAAGAAGACAAAAGGGGCCCCCTCCCAAGAATTTGGAATTAGATGATAAGGGAGCCTTCTGAGCATTAACCCAGCATGGTCCAGAGAAGAAACTCTGTGATGTGTGCCTGCCCACATCAGGCACAGCCAAAAACAGCCTGGCAGGGAGACAGGGTCAGAATGTGCCTGTAATTTAGGGACTTGACACCACCTGGGTGTCATGGACATGGCCCAGAAAAAGACTGGAGACAGGGAGTTGTTATATCTAGAACAATGGTTTTGATTAGCTCAGGAACCCTTTGTTCACATAGAATGCTCCCTCAAAACCCTCTTCTGTAAGACAGAACAAAGAGTGGCTTAGATGGAGAGGAAGGGGGCTTGGAGCTCTGCCTCACTGGTCCTCTCATGTATCTGTTGGTGGTGATGACCCCAAGAGGGCTCCAAGGAACAGTTTATCAATGACTTGGATTTTAGAGTTAGGCTAAAGAGCTAGAGGCTGGCAGTGACGAGTTTCTAGTATGGTGCAGGATTCATCCTTGCCCTTGGGAGGTCACAATCTGGTGAGGGGCCAGGCCCTGGTTCCTAAGGAAGTCCCTTCCCTACAGTGAGACAGGGAACTGTAGGCTCTCAGACACCTGAAACCTCTTCCTCATGGCTTTGACTCCCTGTGTCCCTAGTAGATCAGATTACTGCTGCGCACATGATTCAATGTCCCTGTCCCTGTCACAGTTATTCCTCTCCATTATAGTACTTAATAGACTGGCAGGCTGGTCTGTGCCTCAGTTTCTCAAGGGCCTGGTGGCCTGGTTTAGGTTTATGCTCAGGACAGACCCGTGCCTGTGTCAGAAAATCAAGAAACACTCCACACCTGAAAGCAGACACTCTGCCCTTGGACCCCAGAGCATTCACCAAGGAAAGAGGCTGCCTCCTCAGCTCCCCACTCCTTGATACCTGAGCACACACCCAAACTTCTAGCTATTTAAACTTTCTAAGCTTGGTTTTCTCATCCGTAAATGGGGATAGCACAAAACTCAAGGGTCTTTGTAAAGATGAAATGACAGGCTCGGCGCCTATAGCTCAACCGGCTAAGGTGCCAGCCACGTACACCTAAGGTGGCGGGTTCGAATCCCCAGCCTGGACCCGCCAAAACAATAATGACGGCTGCAATCAAAAAACAGCCGGGCGTTGTGGCGGGCACCTGTGGTCCCAGCTACTTGGGAGGCGGAGGCAAGAGACTCGCTTGAGCCCAGGAGTTGGAGGTTGCTGTGAGCTGTAATGCCACAGCATTCTACCCAGGGGGACAGCTTGAGGCTCTGTCTCAAAAAAAAAAAAGATGAAATGACAGAGGTGTTTGTGAAGGGTCTTCTGCATAGTTGCTGGCATCTACTAGGTGTGCTCTCTTCCCTTTTGTTTCACACTAGCGCTTCTGAGTAACTCACTGGGCTCACAGCGAAGTCTCTGAATCAGTTGCCAGTAAAGAGGTACTTTCTGAAAAACTTGTTCTATTGTTCAAGCCCCGCCCAATGAGAAGAGGGCCTGCCTCAGGATTCCCCGGCTAATTTGGGAGTGGGAAGCAGAATCTGCTGGTGCCTCTGGAGGGAGGAACTTCATCTCCAGGAGGATTCAGGGAGGGTGTGTGAAGTCACAGGAAGCAAATGAGGAGGGCTTCTGGCCTGAAGGGGCTCTCCTGGGAGTGCCCACAAGGCTCCGGGGGCCTTTCCGGAAACTTACCTCACTCCTTGGGGTCCACTTCTGATTTTCTTCACCCTCCTTAAACTTTCCCTGCCTCCTTCACTCTCGGCTGAGGACTTCCCCTCTACTTTACTGAGGAAAGAACTCCTCAGCTGGGGATCCCCACCATCACACCGCCTGCACCTGTGCACCCCTCCTCCCCTCTCTACCGACTGTACTGCTACACCTGCGCAGATGTGCAGATGTCTCTTCTGAGCACAGGGCACTCCTGCCCTGGACACTCTAGGGACCCAGCTCTTCCTGCCACTTTCTGTCTCTCTCTCCTGGATTATTCTGGTTGGCAAGTAAATACAGGCCAGAAGAGTTCATCTTTCAATGAAAGCTTCCCTCAGGCAGTGGGAAGGAGGCTTAAGGAGTAGGGCGCCGGCCCCATATACCAGAGGTGGCAGGTTCAAACCCAGACCCAGACAAAATAATAATAATAATAATAAAAGCTTCCCTCCATCCATATAGTATTCTTCCATTTTTGCTCCTCTAAACATCTCTTCAGAGTCAGGCTTCTCAAAAGAGTTGTCTATGCATGCTCTCTCCCCTCCCCCACCAAAGTGCCAGTTTGTTAACTCAGTCCACCTGGCTTCTGCTTTCACTGTACCCCAAACCCACCATATAAATAGTCTTCATCTGTTCATTGCCTTAATGTCTGTCTCCCGCTAGAAGTTAAGCTTCATGAGGGCAGGGGCTTATCTGTTTGGCTCACTATTATATTTTTAGTACCCAGCACAGAACTAATACATAGTAAATGTTCAACAAATATTTGTGGTATGGATGAATTAACTCTGTCTGTTCCAGACACATTGTCAGGTTTTGGTATCAGGGTCATTAATGCTGGCCTCATAAAAGGAGTTGAACACCTGTAGTCCTAGCACTCTGGGAGGCTGAGGTGAGTGAACCACTTGAGCTCAGGAGTTCAAGACCAGCCTGAGCAAGAACAAGACCCCCCCCCCCCCGTCTCTACTAAAAACAGAAAAACTAGTCGGGCATTGTGGCGGACACCAGTAGTCCCAGCTAGAGATTGAGGCAAGAGGATCATTCAAGCCCAAGAGTTTGAGGTTGCTGTGAACTGTGACACCATGGCACTCTATCCAGGTAAACACAGGAAGACACTGTCTCAAAAAAATAAAATAAGCTGGAAAGTGTTCCTTCCTCTTCTATTTTCTAGAAGAGATTGTGCAGAATTGGTATTATTTCTTATTTAAAAGGTTATTTAAATGGTTAAAGTATCATTTAGATAAGTATCTAAATATACTATTAGTATTTTAAATTATACCATTTTATAATTAAAATATTTTAAAATTATTAAGATATAACAAATGATTTAAAAGGAAAGTATCCCTTAAACATGTGGTAGAATTTACCAGTAAAACCATCTGGACCTAGAGTTTTCTTTGTTGGAAGGTTTTTAACTATAAATTCAATTTCTTTAGCAGGTATAGGACAATTTAGGTTATCTATTTCTTCGTTTTTTTTCTTTTAAGAGAGAATCTCACTCCTGTCATCCTGGGTAGAGTGCTGTGGCATCATAGCTCACAGCAACCTCAAACACCTACCTATGCTTAAGTGATCCTCTTGCCTCAGCCTCCCAATTAACTAGGACTACAGGCAACTGCTACAATGCCTGGCTGGTTTTTCTATTTTTAGTAGAGATAGGGTCTCACTCTTACTCAGGGTGTTCTTAAACTCCTGAGCTCAAGCAATCCACCTTCCTCAGCCTCGCAAGGTGCTAGGATTACAGGCATGAGCCCTGAGTTTTAATAGTTTGAATCTTTCAAAGAATTGGTCTATTTCATCTACGTTATTAAATTTATGGTCACGGAGTTGCTTATAGTATTCCCTGACAACCTTTTAATATCTGAGGGATCTGTGATGATGTCCCTTTTGTATCCCTGATAATTGAAAGTTTTTGCCATTTTCCTTTTTATTCTGCCAGTCTGGCTACAGATTTATCAATTCTATTGACTTTTTTCAATGAATCAGCTTTAGGTTTCATTGATTTTTTTAAAATTGTTTTCAATCTCATTGATTTCTGCTTTTATCTTCATTATTTCCTTCTTTCTGCCTGCTTTGGAATCTCCAAAGACCTTAAAGAATATTTATCCTATCAATCAGACATATTTGTTATTCCCATTTTATAGAAGAGGAACCCAAAAGAAATTAAATAACTTGCCCAGTGTCCCAAAGCAACTAAAATGGGGCCAGGACTCAAACTCCAGAGCCTATGCTTCCAGTCACTGAGCCACACTGCCTTCCCATCACTTAGCTTCCAGGCCAGATTCTTTTTTTGAGACAGAGCCTCAAGTTGTCCCCCTGGGTAGAATGCCATGGCATCACAGCTCACAGCAACCTCCAACTCCTAGGCTCAAGCAAGTCTCCTGCCTCCGCCTCCCAAGTAGCTGGGACCACAGGCGCACACCACAACACCTGGCTTTTTTTTTTTTTTGGTTGCAGCCATCATTGTTGTTTGGCGAGCCCAGGATGGATTCGAACCCACCACCTTAGGTTATGTGACTGGTGCCTTAGCCACTTGAGCCACAGGGGCCGAGCCCAGGCCAGATTCTTGTACTATACCAGATGCCTCATCAAGCACTGCCGAAGTGTGCAACTTTTCAGTTTACCTTGGACTCTCAGCATTTCCCACCCGCCTTTCCAGGGACCATCTACTTTCCTTGCAGTTCAGTTGCTTGGCTTCCAATTCCCTTGAGCAGCAATCAAAGTGGGGAGGCTGACATGGTGGCTCATGCCTGTAATCTCAGCAATTTGAGAGGCTAAGGCTGAGGATCACTTGAGATCAGGAGTTTGAGACCAGCCTGGGCAACATAACAAGACCCTGTCTCTAAAATAATTAGAAAAAAATAAAAAAAATTAAAAAAAAAGGAAAAAATGAGCCAAGCATGTACTTATAGTCCCAGCTCTTCTGAGACTGAGGTGGGTGGGGGGTCCTCAGTAAGGGTCCTTATTGAGCCCTGGAGTACAAGGCTGCAGTAAGCTATGATCATGCCACTGCACTCCAGTCTGGGTGACAGAGTAAGACCCTATCTCTAAAAAAACAAACAAAAATGTGGGCTGGCCTGTATAAGGATAAAGCCTTCACAATTGCCTTGGTACTTACCTTGGACTTGGCTGAACTACAGGTGGTAGAATCTGTTGGTGAAAGACAGAAAAAAATGAAAGTTAGATCAAAGAAAGAGAAGGCTGAGTCTTGTGAACACAATTCCCTCTCCTCAAAGGCTTCAGACACCAAGGAGTTCAGAAACATGGGCCTGATGTCATTTTTTATGGGATAATGGTGGAATGGTGTCAATCACCACTGCCTTTGGAGGCAGGAAGTGATGTCAGACTGCCAGCCACTCATCCCTCATTTGCCCAACATTAAGGGCCAGGGGTGATTTTATTTGGGCCTAGTTCCTCTCCCCTCCCCCTCCTATCCCTGTTACTCTGAAGCACTGGAGAGAAAATGCCAAATATCAAACGCAGTCCACGGAAACCACAACAGTGAAACACAGCAAATCACAGATGCTCTGGAGAAATGGAGACCACACAGTGCATAGAGAGCTGAGTGCCTACACCCCCCACCCCCAAGACATGAGAAAAGGGATCACAGTGAGTGATGCATAAAGGGGAGGAAATGAAGTGGGTGGGACAAAGGAGGTAGAGTGGGCTGGCAATTAGAACCTTGATAGGTTTCACCTACAGACCTGGGGTCAATCTGCCCTTATGGAGCAAGGTCACCATAATAACCAAAGTTATCAAGGAGTATGAAATCAACACATCTAGGGATCCCGCTCCCTTAATACTGGGGTAAAGAAGAGACCAGAAACAAGTCCTGGCAGTGTCCTTTCCAAGGCTGGAGAGGGAGCAGGTTGATCCAATAATCTCCCACCCCACCCCCAACCCCGGCAGTGGGCAGGTGCGGTTAATCCACACTCTCTGGCAGGCAGTTAGATGCGCCTCTCCAGCCCCCTCCCCTTGCCAACGGTGAGAAAAGCAAGATGGGCTGACCACACACGACACACACACACAGGTCAGGCGGGGGACGGCGGGTGATTAGAAGAGTCGGGGGCTCCTCTCTGCCATCCCACCCCCTTGTCCTCTAGCCCCTCTCCCAGGCAGTCTCTGGCAACCAGGGGAGCTGTAGCGGTGCCTCTGCCAGGTATGGGACTTGGAACACTAAAGGGCGGGGCAACCACGGCGGAGGAGGAGCTAGAGTCTGAGGCTAGAGCCGAGAAGGGAGGGGCCATTCATTTGTCTCTGAACCTGTCTATCCTTTCCTCTGCGGTGAGGAGGCCAGAGCCCCCTACATTAAGACTTAGGAGTTCAGTCACAGGGGCCCTGGTTTTTGAAGCAAGAAGAGGCAGCCCCTTGGGGTGACAGTAGCTATAGAGAGGCTCATGGGAGTGACATCCCTAGTCTCCGGAGAGCCTGGGTCGCCTGCCCGGGCCCAGATGACCACCAGTGGCAAAGGTGGGCACAGACAGAAGGCTGCAGAACCTGGGGGACTGCCGGAGGTCAGCCAGCCAATGCCCAGACTTCTAGGTTAGAGGAAAGGCCCGGACCCCAGCGAGAGCCTCTTTTCTCCTGAGAAGGGACTTTAGGATGGGAGGGCTCTGGGTTGGGGATGGAGGGGGTAGTTATGACAAGCCAGGACAACCTGGATGCTGGGGGTGGGGGTGTTCATCACGCCCGGGACATTTCTGCCTGCCCAACCCTCTTATAATCACCCGCCGCTGTTAGTGACCGAGGCCGCGACACCGCACTGTACCCTTTAAATCTCCAACAGGTCCGCTGGAGGAAGGGAGGTGGGGAGGAGAAGAGGGCAGGATGGGGGATGGGAGGAGAGCAAGGGGGATGGGAGGGGCAGGGGTACAAGGAGAACAGGAAGAAAAATTAGAAAGAAGAACATGCCCAGAGGGCGCAGCCAGCCCAGGAGAAATTAAAGGCTCAGGAGAGGAACCAACCGGAGAACGTAGCTACCTAGCGTGGGGCAGGCTGCACTTCCCAGGAGGGGAGAAGCCTCTGCACGCCCTGTCTGGGTGGTAGGGGCAGGGGAGGGCCCCGCTGGGCCGCAGCAGGGAAGCTGGGCGTCAGGCGGGGCATCTAAGACCCCCAGGAATGCAGAGCCCACCCTCAGTCCCAGCCCCTCCCAGGCCCCTGCACTCACCTGAACCTGGGTCACCAGGAGGCACTGTCCTGCCAATGTTGGGCAGGAGGTACTCGATGTTGGGCACTGACTGAGGCTCCTTGTCATCCACAGGGGTCTGCAGACAGGAGGAGAGGTCAGCCAGCATGCCCTCAGATGGCTGGACTGTGGGGCCCCCAGAATGGGATTCCCTGGTGAGAGGGCTCCTGTCTCCCCCATCAGAAATGGAGATTGACGAAGGTAAGCACTGTGTCTCTCTCATCAGGCTGGGGATGCCCTGCGGGTGGGGACCTCTCCCTGTTAGAGTCTTACCCCCCACCCCAGGACCAGGGCCCACTACATCACTTACTCTCTCTCCCTTGTCCTCCTCATCGCTGAAGAACCAGTCTGACTGCAGAGGAGTCAAAGGAAGGGATGAAGTCAGTGTGGGAAGGACTGAGGGCAGACAAGGAGGCAGAGCTCCTCAGCATGCTTGGCCCACCAGGACGCCTATTGTCAGTGTGGTGGCCACAGGTAGTGTGGGACTCACTCTGCTCTCTCAGCCATGGACCTGGCTGGCACTAACAGTCTCTCTGCTTTCTGGCTCGCTGTGGGGTATATGCCACAGTGATGTGCCCAGGATGGTGTTTAGAAGGAAAACGGCAAAAAGAACAGGTCTCTTGAGCCTGTCACCCATCTTTGGTGGGCTCTCTGCCAAACCAGGCTGTGTCCCCTCCCCATACTACAGTCCCACCTTTTCTCTTCCCAGTAATTTTTTTTTTTTTTTTTGAGACAGAGCCTCAAGCTGTCCCCCTGGGTAGAGTGCCGTGGCATTACAGCTCACAGCAACCTCCAACTCCTGGGCTCTAGCGAGTCTCTTGCCTCTGCCTCCCAAGTAGCTGGGACCACAGGTGCCCGCCACAGTGCCCGGCCATTTTTTTTTGGTTGCAGCCATCATTGTTGTTTGGCGGCCCGGGCTGGGGATTCAAACCTGCCACCTTAGGTGTACGTGGCTGGCGCCTTAGCCGGTTGAGCTATAGGTGCCAAGCCTCTTCCCAGTAATTTTTCATAGCTTGTGGAGTCAGGTTCCAGGATCCACCAGCCTCTCTCCTAGCCCTCCCCAGCAGCCCCACCAGCCTGAGGTTTGCTGAGAGAGGAGGGACCATTGCCACCAAGGCCAAGGCAGAGGGACTGCTTGAGCTCAGGAGTAGGAGACCAGACTGAGCAGGAGCAAGATCCTATCTCTAAAAAATAGCCAGGCATTGTGGCCGGCACCTGTAGTCCCAGCTACTTGGGGAGGCTGAGGCAAGAGGATTAATTAATTACTTAAGCCCAGGAGTTTGAGGTTGCTGTGAGCTATGACTTCATAGCACTCTACCCAGGGTGACAAAGTGAGACTCTGTATCAAAAAAGAAAAGAAAAGAAATTGACAGTGGCAATTAAACATAAGCTATGAATAAGTAGCAACATAGAATGCATAATTTTCACATCAAGAAAATAAAATTCATTCTATCCAAAGCAAGGTAGGACAACAAAAAAGGAAACAAAATGAAAATGCAGTAAACAGAAGATAAAATTTTAAATGGCAGAAATAAGTCCTAAGAGTATAGAAGTTACAATAAAATAAATGAGCTAAACTCACTGAATAAAAGTTAGAGATTCAAATTACATTTTTAAAATTAAATATGTGATCTACATTAATCAAAACAACATAGAAAGTATGAAAAGTCATGAGTCATAGAGGAATCCTGGTAAAAAAGGAATAACAAATCAAGAAATATAATAAATCATAGCCTATAGACCAGTTTATCTCTCATTTTTAAAATACATTCAGCAATAATTGATAGAACTACAAGGAGATTAGAGAAAATTAAATATTGTATCTGATCAACCACAGTAAAAAGTAAGCAAAGATATAAAAACTGAACAACACGATTGACAGATCTGATCTAATGAATATACTTAGAAGTTTGCACTCAACCATTAGGGAAAATATATCCTTTTAGAACACACATGAAATCATTCAAAAGCCAACCACGTCACTGGGCACATAATCCTAGCACTCTGGGAGGCCCAGGTGGGTGGATTGCTTGAGCCAAGGAGTTGGGAGACCAGCCTGAGCAAGAGAAAGACCCTATCTCTAAAAATAGCTGGGCGTTGTGGCCGGCGCCTGTAGTCCCAGCTACTTGGGGAATGAGGTAAGAGGATCACTTAAGCCCAAGAGTTTGAGGTTGCTGTGAGCTATGACACCATGGCACTCCACCAAGGGCAACAAAGTAAGACTCTGTCCCCTCATCCCCCCAAAGCCAACCATATCCTAGGCCACAGAGAAACAGACTATATTCTCTGCTCATAATGGAACAAAATCAGAAATAACAACAAAAAAGAGAGAAAAATTCCCTAAGTCTTCATGTGTTTGAAACCCATCAATGATACTGCTAAATAATCCTTGGATTAAAGAGAAAATCATAAAGTAATTATGACATACCCAGAGCTGAAGTCTAATAAAGCGTTACATGTAAAAATCTGTGGGGAAGAAATCTTTTCTTTTTTTTTTTAGTGATGGGGTCTGGCTCTGTCTTCTAGGCTGGAGTGCAGTGGCATCATTATAGCTCACTGCAGCCTTAAACTCCTGGGGTCAAGTGATAATCACTCACACTCTCACTCCAAAAGCATCTTAAGCCTAGTTATTTTACACTTTTATACGTAGTATTCTCTTTCAACATTTCAAGGAATATATAATCTTTGTCTTTACAAGTTGTTCAAAAATGAGGAAAAAGAGGCAAAGCTGTCAAATTCAATTTTTGAGACTCAAAACAAAATAAAGATAAGTATAAGAAAGAAAACTAAAGGTCAGTTTTGTACTGAACATAAAATTCAAAAATCTTTAAATGATAAAAGAGTTGGCTCAATCTTAAATCATATTAAAAATACTAATTATATGATGAAGCCGGGTTTAGCTCAGGAAAGCAAGGATGGTTCACAGTCTGAAAATCTGTCATTGAACAAAGGAAAAAAATATATGGTCATCTCCACAGGCACCAAAAATCACTGAATAATGATAAGCACCTGAATATAATTAGGAAAAACATTAAGAAACTAGGAATAAATAGGAACTTCATTACTGTATAAGTAATACACTTAGAGGAGAAATTTTAGACAGTCTCTTTGAGGTCCGGAATAAGTGAAGATAACCACTATCACTGCTACTACCCAAAAGAGGACTAAAAGTTCTGGCCAACACGAGCAGACAAGAAAAAGAAAAGGGACAAACATCAAAAGGAACAAAACTGAAACTATATAAGACTAAAATGTAATTATTTGCAGATGCCATTTACGTAAGAAATTTAAGAGAATCAATAAACTAATCAGGGTGTTCAGCAAGGTTGTCAAATAAAAGATCAACATACAAAAGTCAATGTGCCTCACAGTTCTGTGACTAAACTAAAAACCACTGAATTATACAACTTAATGGATAAATCTTATGGTATGTGAATTATATGTCAATAAGGCTGTTATGTGAAAAAGTTTGTGAGCTTCTACACCAAGTAAAAAAGATATTAGAAAATAAGATAAAATTCAGAATGGTGACAAAACATGTATCTAGAAATTAACCTTATAAGGAATTTACAAATTACTGGCTGGGCGTGATGGCTCACAATTGTAATCCCAGCACTTTGGAAGGCCATAGCGGGAGGATTGCTAGAGGACAGGAGTTCTAGGCCAGCCTGGGCAACATAGAGAAACCCCATCTCTACAAAAAAACATTTTTCGTTAGCTGAGTATGCTGATGAATACCCACAGTCCTAGCTACTAAGGAAGTTGTGGCAAGAGAATTGCTTGAGCCCAGAATTTGAGGCTCTAGTGAGCTATAATCGGGCCACTGCCCTACACAGCATGGGTGACAGAATTAGACCCTGTCTCAAAAAAAAATTATATACATAAGTAACAGAGCAAGACCCCATCTCTAAAATCAATACATAAATAAATATTTAAACATATGCCATATGCATAGACAAATAAACTCATGGATTACTAACTAAATGTGGGGGAAAGTACTGTAGAAGAACTCTTGTGACCTTAGGGGTGAGTTATTCCCCAAGGCCCTAAAGCACAAATCCTATGGAGGGAAATAGGTAGATGGGAACCCAAAAGACCAAAAAAGTAAAGGCAGCCCGATGCTTTCTGGAAGAATTCACAGGGAACAATATCCTAGACAAAGGTAACAGACAGGTGGCAGACTAGAGAAATATACCTAGAACCAAGAAACAGGTTATTAAGTAGTAGTCTACGTAAAAGGAATCCCAAAAAATAGCATCGAAAATTAAGCCCGACAGGGCGGTGCTTATGGCTCAAGGAGTAGGGTGCCGACCCCATATGCCAGAGGTGGCGGGTTCAAACCTAGCCCCAGCCAAAAACTGCAACAACAACAAAAAAAAAATTAAGCCCGATGAGAGCAGCCAGGTGAGGGCTGCATAGATACTCCCAGAGGAGTCAAGTGTTGCTAACTCCAGCCATCTTCTGACAACCCAACAGCTCAGAGACAGGATCATAGCTGTCTCTGCCCCAAGTCCACTCACGTATGGGGTTCATGACAACACTACTCCCTGGCTCTAGTGCCTCTGTGTCAGACAGATGCTCCCTCGGGCCAGCTTGAGGGGCCTATAGAGGGTGTGACTCGTTCCTTCAAGAATCACCTAGGGCTGGTCACATTCAAATGCCAAGGTGGCAGAGAATGGAAGCTACCAGCACAGTTCTCAGGAATGAATGCCTGGGTGGAAGAGCCCAGCCTGACATAACCTCAGTGACCAATCCACTCGCTCACTTATCACCCCACAAACACTGTGTTCACCATGTGCCACATACTAGCCTTGGTGCAAATGAGACAGGCATGCCCCATCTCTCCCATCCTGGGGGACAGTAAGTAGATGTGCTTTGGGCCTCCTCCTTCCTGAAGGCTGCTGTCCCTGACACCTTAACTGACCACTCAGGCTTCCAGTGGCTTCTCTAGGAGCCACAGTGCCAGACTGTTCTGCACTGCTGTGTCCCAAAGCACACGCTCATGGGAACCTCCAGGGGCTCTCTACTGCACTGGGAAGCTAAACCTACTTGAGGCCACATCAGGATCCCTGGCACTGCCTGATGGCCCTGGCCTCCTTGATAGCTCTGGAGTGGGTGTCCAGGCTGGTGGTCTCAATACTGTGATGAAGACAGACTGTGATGCTCCCTCTTGTGGCTCAGAGTTCTGACCATGCTGAGAAGGAAGGAGACCAGTGGGCAAGGCCAGTCAGAACAACTGAGCTCTCCTCCCTGCCTCCTTTCCCTGGCTCCGCCAGCCTTTCTCCCTCCAAAGCCAGCTCAGGAAGGGACAGAGGAGTCTGCCATTCTGGTGGGAGTAGAGTTGGGGGACTTAAGCACAGGCTTGGTCAGACAGACAGGGATTACCATCCTGGGGCTGTCACTTATTACCAAGTCAATTTGCCTTCTTGAGCTCCAGTTTCCTCATCTGTAAAAGGTGGGTAATATGACCTACTTTTCCTTCCCTAAAGTATCTATGAGGTGGAGGAGGACTGAGACTTCCTTTCCTCTGACAAACTGCCAATTTTACTATTCCCAGCAGGAGAGGGTCTATTTCCATCCCTTGTGAGCTATAACAAGATTTGGAAATGGAAAAATCTAAGGCAATTCATGAAAACATCCCTGAGTGCCCCAAAGTGGGTGGTGCTGCCTTTCCATTTGGCTTTGGAAGACCAAGGGCTTGTGTGCCCTCTGCTGGCCACTCTGGGTTCTCTTCCCTTCAATGACAAGAAGAATCCACAGGCTGGGTGCCTGTAGCTCAGTAATTAGGGCAAGAGCCACATGCTCCAGGGCTGGTGGGTTCACCCCAGCGCAGGCCTGCTAAACAAAACAACAACAACAAAAAATAGCTGGGCGTTGTGGCAAGTGTCTGCAGTCCCAGCTTTTAGGGAGGCTGAGGCAAGAGAATCACTTGAGCCCAAGAGTTTGAAGCTGCTGTGAGCTGTGATGCCACAGCACCCTACTAAGGGCGACATAGTGAGACTCTGTCTCAAAAAAAAAGAAGAAGAAGAAGACTCCACAGGGTCACAGGGCTCTCAGCACCTCCAGAAAGCTGTGAGAAGGGAGGTGACCAGCTCAAGACACACAGAGCACAGCACAGGGTGCTACCTTGGGCTCTGTGCCCTGCCCCGTTCACCATTCATTATCTCCCTAAACTTTAGTGGGGCCAGCAGGGAAAGTGTCTCCAGGGAGAGCCCAGGTCCCCTGATTCCCAGGCCAGACCTCTGCCCAGCCTCTGCACCTGTCTGCTGGCATCTTCCAGGACACCTCTCCTTGGGGCCACCTTCTAAAGGCACTCCTGCCTTTACCCCTCCAGCTTTCCACCCCAGCAGCAGCTGCCCTGCCCTGCCTCCTCCCTCTGACACCCACACCCATCTCTGGACCTCTAGATTCTCCTGCAGGGGACCCAATATTCCGGAATGAAGGGATTCTGGGATCCATTCCTGTTGCTTCTAAAGGGCAGTCACCATCCCAGTGGCATTTTCTTATGCCACTGAGTCCTCCCTGAGCACACCCAGCCAGGCTGAGCAGGAGTGAAGGCAGGACACCACCCAGGTCCCAGGGGCTGCCAAAGTGCACCCACAGAACAGGCTGCTTACATGCTGGATCAGCGTCTCCACGATCTTGTAGCGATCAGGCATATGGGTTACCATGTCTGTCATGTTGTCCTCAGACGTCCTCACCAGCGTCGGCCCAAAGACCAGGGCCAGGTTCCGGGGCTCCATCTGGACAGGAAGAGAAAGCAGGTCAGGGTCAATACTCTGACCTCTGACCTATAGCACCTCCAAGTCCTCCCTCATTCCAGGCTCCTAATGCCTCTATCCCAAGCTAGGTCCTGAGCTATCCTCAGCTTAGGGGCTGGATGCCCCTGTGTGTGGCCATGGAGGTACTTGGCAAGTGGGGTACAGGCCAGATTTCAGCCCCACTCATCCCCAGGCCTAGCAGCCATAAGCAGTGGCTAAAATGTACCCCCCTGTACAGGGCAGCCCTGATGGTCAGTGCCAGCAGTGGGAAATCCTGGAGGGGGAGATATGTAAGGGGTCTTAGGGTATTTTAGGCCTGGGAAAAAATCCTGCCACTGCCCACTTTCCCCACTGCAGAACCAGAAGATATAAGGTGTTTGATGAGGAAAAGGTGATACAAGGGGTTTGAGCTCTATCAGAGAACAGCTATTCATCAGATATAAGGGGCTATGGCTCTCTGCCTCTGGAAGACCCTCAGAAACTTAGGAGATGGCTCTTCGGGGGAAAAGGCACAGAGCGGGTGGTGACAGAGTAGCCTTGTGGAGGGGGGCATGCCTACGGAGGCAGGAGCTTAAAACGTGTGGAGGAGACCATCCCAGGAGGAACTGTGCTTCCCTCCCCGCCCCCCCACTCCATGCCAGAGTCCCCACCCACCTTGTTTTTCTCAGAGTGGTCAGCAATGGTCTTGAGATGCCCCACAAGGAATTTGAGTGTTTCATAGTAGTGTCCTGGGAGATCTCGGATCTGGGCAAGAGAGAGCAGGAGCATGGGAACAGGCTGTGGAGGCTGCCCCTGCCCCCAGCACCTGTGTACCCCACAGGGGCTCCCACCGCTGTCCCTCAAGGAGTCTGGAATCCACCCTCTAACGCCCCTTCACTTGTATACATGGGGAAACTGAGGCTCTGAGTGGAGAAGGGCTGCTCCAAAATCTCAGGGGGACCCCATGGCACCGGTCTCTGGACCTCATGAGACAGGGCTGCTCTGCTGTCCCCTCCTTTTGCCCAGTACCATCTCCGTTTCCTCACCAGCTTCCTCAGCGTCTTCATCCGCTCCCTTGAGTCTTCGATGCGATTGGCCTCGATGAAGTCATTGTATTTGTCTAGAACACAGTGAAGACTTTTTAGAGGTGGGGAGGTAGGCCCTTCTCCCCTCTCCAGGAGTGCTGTTTCTAGGGCTGAAGGCCCAGGCCACCTGGGCAGGCCAAGCTGGGAGTCCATGTTTTGTGCCCATGCTGTTCCAGATTAGGGAGCTCTGTGGCCCTGTGTTCATATGACCAGACCCATCACAGCTACACGCAGGTGTGCTCCTGACCTGGTGTGTTCACTGGGGAAAAAAGAAGACCTGAGCTGCATGCTGATCCTAGAAAAAGGGTGCCTGCCCCTATCTCCAAGACAAGGACACCAATGTCCAGCAGGTTAAAAGAGAAGGTTGTCTCTAAGTAGGGGGAGCTCAGACATCCCCTCATCAGGATTTCTCCAACTCCTTTCAGAAGAAGTCCACAGGGAAATTGTAAAAATGGAGCATAATAAGCCTATTCTAAAATTCATCTGGGTAAGCTAATGCACAAAAATAGCCAAGAATAGGGTTTTTTTTTTTGGAGACAGAGTCTCACTTTGTCACCCTCAGTAGAGTTCCATGGCGTCATAGCTCACAGGAACCTCAAACTCCTGCACTCAAGCAAATCTCTTGCCTCAGCCTCCCAAGCAGCCGGGACTACAGGCATCTACTACAACGCCCAGTTATTTTTAGAGATGAGGTCTTGCTCTGGCTCAGGCTGGTCTTGAACTCAGGCAATCCACCC